GTTTGAAAGCATCTCCAGGGCCACCAGTTTTGAGTTTTGACTTGACATTGGCCATGAATTTGAAGATATTAAAGGAACAAGAAGAGCAACGTGTATAGGACACTTAATAAAAAAATATCATCGTAATAACAATTTAAGGTTAAATTAGTCTTTGCATATACTTTTTTTAACAAAATTTATATTATTAATAAAGGTATTACAATCAGTTTATGCTAATAAATAATTTAGTTAGTGAAAAATATTAATATATTTTTTTAATACTTTAACATTATTATTATTATACGCACTTTTAAAATTTATATTAACAACTTAATTTTTGTTAAATAAAGATTTATGAAGTTTTATATGCAAAAATTGTTAAGCTCCAAAAATTTGATGAAAGAAAAAAAATCTTCTGTATATCATTCTGAAGGACATGAATAAGCAACAGAGACATTAATGGTTGAAAGTTCAAATCCCCAAAGTATAGCCAATGCAAAAGGACTTTGGGTCGGTTGGCTTATATTGCTTATACTTTAATTGCGAGATACTATGCTTTTGACAAACAGGGTCACAGTTAGGAAGGTTAGGTCCAGATTTTGGATATTATATGAATTTGAACGTGCAATTTAATTTAATCGTTAATATTCAATGTACTCCAAAAAAAAAAAAGTTGCATCATTATTCAAAGACTAGTTGTAAATGAGAGAAATATAGGATTTCAGTTTAAAATTTGACCAATACTTATAATTCATTTTTCCTTATAATACTTTTGGAACTTACTTTAATGTGTCGTTAAATGTAAAAGTTTTAAATTACTTAATATATAAGATACGAAATACCAGTTATGAAAAAAGTATTTCTAAGAGGGTCAAATTAAACAAAGCAAATAGATGGTTGTGACATGTGAATGGGATGAAAGAGACTTGTCATATAAAATCAAACTTTACTTCAATTAGTTCGAACACTAAGAAATTTCTTTTAAATACATTCTTGATCCCACATCTCGAAAACAGAAAAAAAATTTACTCATTGAAGAGAGTTCACTTAAATTAACCCAAAATTATTTTAAAATACCAGATTTTCTGTTAAAAAATAAAAAATAGAACTTAAGTAGATATTTGTGTACCAACTACTATTATTATATCAATGTGAGAAACAAAAGTACAGAATGTAGTAATTAAGTATAATCTTAGGATGCATTAATCCTCAAGAAACGTTAGTGAAGTTATTCATTGTTATTTTATGAGTGAAAATTCATTAAAATATTGAGCACAAGAAGTTCCTAAAAAAATAAATGGAGTTCATATGTATGACGTGTACGCATCCATAATTCAACCACGAATGATATACAAGCAACTAGAGCATCAATGATTCATATACACTTTTTTTTTTCATATACTATTTTCAACGTGGGGAAGTTTCACTCTAATGTTCAACGTGAGGAAGTTTCTCAAAGTTTACAGTTGCACCCTACAACAGCGAAAGAATTTGATTTCCATACACACAACGCCGACCTGTTTGCATCAGAACGTATGACGTGTGAAAAAGAAATTTGGGGTATCGTATACATATGCTATCCAGTTATATTAATACACATCACTTTTAGGAAATGAGAATCTCATATTTTTAGGTACCTTTAACCTTTTATCAAATTAAATTATTTTTTATTAACTAATTGTTAGTTTATAATTTTTTAATTTATATAACTAGTTTTATTATTTCAAGTAAACAATAAGATTAATTATTTATCTAACTTGTTAGCCCCATTTTACATCCCGTCAAGTGACCTAAATCCAAGTAAATTAGTTTTAATCTTCATTTTATAATTATGAGAAAATGTTTTTTTAATGGCGAGAGAGACTGTATTTTTATTATAAGTAAATGAAAGAAAGTTAATAACTTTTAAGTAAAAATTTTATGACACTCAAAGATATTAATGTTTTTCATATTTTATGTTTTTACCCTTTCAATTGTAATATGCAGTACCTTATAAAATTGAATACTTGCTTCTCACGCTTGAATAATTAAAAAAAAAAAGGCGCGGGAAATGTTATGATAAACGTATCAAGTAACTATGCCCCGTTGTTGAAATGCATTTTACCTCTCAATTTATTAGTGTCATTGCAATTATTTTAAAATAATTATTGTTAATTATTTTTAATGAAATACAATTTGAGTAGAAAATGAAGTTTGCAATTCATAATGTTAAATCAACATTTGATTTTATTAATTACATAATGTATTTAACTCAATAACAATATTTGGTTATAAAAATTTATTAATTAAAAATTATTTCAGCTTAACATAGTTGTATTATTTTTTTATTAATTGATTTATATGTTCGATAGTAAATAAGAATTATTTTTAAAGAATGATAAAAGTTATGAATATAAATAATAATAATTAATTAAAACTATATTTAATAATATTTATAAGAAATAAGCATATATATATATATATATATTAATTAAAAAATATACCAAAATATAAGTACCTTACGGGCCACGACTAAAGGAATCTTCTCCTTTTACATGTCACTATTAGTCTTAAAAATCTTTGATTCTTTCCCTTTGAATCACACAAACATATCAAGGGAATAACATTTTCCAAAAGATATATATTTCTGCAATATACGAAATAGATTTTTATACGCGTCTTAAAGTTATTATTAGTGTATTTGAACTCGTCTTTATTTTAACGTTTCTAATTATGTTTCCGCTTATAAATTTTTTTATGTATATGTAAACATATACTGTAAAGCCAACAACTCTAGGAAGCTAGAAGAAATTCGTGTAATTACCATACTTGATGGAATAAGAGAGGGGAGGTTGGAAGGGGTGAACGAAAACAGAGAAAGAAGGAAAAGCATTTATATGCCGCTGGTTTTGAAGCTTACTGTTCCAAGTTAGGTTGGAGCTGCTTGTTTTTATTTTAAATGATACTATACAAGGGGCGTGATTGGTCAATATTCAACTTATGTGAAGTTTTTGTTTTTTAGTGCCAATATTTTAAATTATGTTACAACATAAAAGGTACCGAGGAAAATTTGAAATTATGGATGCTCTTAATTGCCCAAAAAAGTAAAAAAGTACATGAGGTTACAACTAGAGATATTTTGGAAGTTTTGAAACCTTTCGTTAGAGGGCTGGGAAGGCCGTTTTGGGGTGGAAGATAGGGAAAGAAAGAAAAAGGAGAGAACGAATAAATGCCTAAAATCTATGTTAAGCATGATAATTATGACATTGTTCGTTTAAATAATGGAAAATAAGAAAAACGCTATTTGATGTCTTTATACTATTAACCCAGCAAAAGACAATGCAAACCAAATATAAAATGGTAAGCTATTTTAACATGGTTTTCTAATATTTTGTTATGTTTAAATTAATTAACTATCTATGTTCACATTTTCTCTCAAAATATTCATGGAGTAAAACTATACAAGCAAATTAATTATGTATATTAACATAATGGCTGCCTTTGCCATTACAAAAAAAAAAAAAAAAGCATGTATTCAATGATGATGAGCAATTGAGCAATATTCACAGGCTAATGATATATTTGGTTGGGAATTAACTCTTACCCCATGAAGCTGGAGACAATAAAAAATTTTAAAGCCGCATAAATTATGTGATTTTCCCCCTTTCCATAGCTGGTGCGAGAAGAGAGTGTGCTATTTTCCTAGGTCTCCTTTATATATAGGCCAGAAACAGAAGAAAAAAACTTTCAATTTCACCTTCAAATTGCAATTGTCCCTTCAGTCAAAACTAAAGTCTACTGAAAACCCTGATTTACGTTTGGTAAATACAAAATTTCATATTCTTGTTTTTTTCGACTCAATTCTCGGTACGTTGAATCCGGTCAAGGTAATTGGCCTAAATTGTCTTCTTTTTTTTTTTTACAATGAACTAAAATTTATAGAGTATAGAAATGTATATAGACTTTTAAGACAGTTTAATCAAATAAAGTATTCCATTTAAGAACATCAAGTTACAAAATAACCATAAAATTGGTAATCGGTGATCTCCAAAAAATATCTAAAAGAATCTGAATAAAATCCCGTATTGTCTATATAAATAGGTTTAATTTTCTCCTTCTGCGTATACTCTCACTGAATAGTTATTTCTTTTAAAGAAAATCCCCTAATGCTCAAAGAATAATTGAATAATCATGGAGTACCCTGTTCCTAATGTCATTATTTCATTTGTTATTTTTGAAAAAAATAAAAATAAGTGTGTTTTTATAATTTTATTAACGTATGTCTAATAGCACATATTTAAAATTATAAAATTATTCTATTAAATATTTTAAATTAATTTTAAAAACATATATTAATTTTTATAATTTTAAAATAATAAATATTTTAATTTTTAATAAATATTTTCCATTTTAACTTTTTAATGTGTCATTAAACTCCCATTAGAAAAACTGTTTTTATATAATAGTTTTTTACAACAATTTTTTCTCTTTTTATCATATTACCTGTTTTATTGCATTTTTCTCTCTCTTCTCTTCCTATATTTCTGTGATATATATAAAAAAATATTTTAAATTTTCTCTCATTTTTCTTAATCTTCTCATTTTATAAACAAATCTCAAAAGTACTTCAAAAAATGAAAAAAAAATTGCTTTAAAGGTACAAGAAACAATTTTGAAAAGCAAAAACTTAAAAAAAGGAGGTTCCTGTGGGATTATTATGTGGTCCCTCCAATTTCATATTTAGTATAGTTATTACTGAAAAGTACAGGGCCATGGAAAAGAAGTGATAGTTTCGTCGGTTTATGCTGCTCGATCGCTTATACGTGACTAGAAGGAACCAACGAGTAGAAAGCGAGTTTATTTTATTTTATATTTTTATATATTCAATTTCTCCCTCCACCCCCTATAAATCCCACGTTGTGCCGAGGAAGCAGTCACATACAACACCCAACACCCCCCTCTGTTCTACTCTGCCTTTTCTCTATATAAATCCGTGCCCTTTCATTTCGTTTTCCATTCTCACTTCACTTCCCACGATTTTTCTTTTTCTTTAAACTCGGTGTTCGTATAGAATAGAATGACGAACCAGAATGTGGTCTCTCCTATTGGGAAATCACATGTTAACAACACGCTTGTGGAGTTGGCAATGTCCATTTCTAACTCCAGTGCTCTACCTAGAGCCGCAGTGCCTGGATTAATGGCTTTGCTTAATGGCCTTTTGGGCCTGCCCCAGAAGAAGCTCGTAATCAAAACGTTGGAGGATGGAGCTGGAAAAGGATCAACCAAAGTTAACCCGTGGATTGATTCAATGAGAGCCTCTTCTCCTACACGAGCCAAATCCACCTTGCTTTCTTCACAAAACCAAGACCCAAATCCTTGGACCGTAAGAATAATAATAATAATAATAATAATAATATGGGTTTTGTTATATTTTTATTTTTGTGTATGTATGTTTGAACCTTTATGCTGACTTGAGTTTGTTCTGTTTCTTCAACTGTTTGCAGCTTTACCATCCTTCGGCACTGAACATGTTTGATCAGATAATATATGATTCCAGGGGGAAGCAGGTTGTGACTTTTCTTGATTATGATGGAACTCTCTCTCCAATTGTTGCAGATCCAGATAAAGCATACATGAGTAAAAAGGTTTACCTTTTGTTCTCTCGTTTTTATCACTCTATTATCGATTCGTAAGATCAATAGAATAAAATTAATTTAACTTAGTTGTAATTGATTTTTTTTCTTTAATGTTAATAAATCAGATGAGAGCGACATTAAAGGACATAGCAAGGCATTTTGCCACCGCCATCGTCAGTGGAAGGTCCATAGACAAGGTACATTCTTTTTCTCCAAAGTAAAAATATTTCAATATTTTTTGGCTCATAACTAATTAATTTGGATTTTTCTTTTCTTTTTTTTCAAGGTATATAGCTTTGTTGGATTGGCAGAACTGTACTATGCCGGGAGCCATGGCATGGACATTAAGGGACCAACAAATAAGCGAAGTACTAAGAAAGTGAGTGATAGTTTCTTTAACCAAATTAATGAAACCAAGATTTTATCTTAATGTTTTTTCTTCTTACAGTTTCGTAATTTCATGTTTCTTTTCAGGGTAATGAAGCAGTGCTCTTGCAACCCGCGAGTGAATTCCTACCCATGATCAATGAGGTTCGTTGTTTGTCTTAATGATTGAATCTCCATATTTATCATTTTGGTAACACACAAGATTTTAACGGTGCCGTTATCATTGTTTATTTTATGGGGTCAGGTGTACAATATCTTGGTGGAGAAAACAAAGTCTGTCCCGGGTGCTAAGGTAGAAAATAACAAGTTCTGCTTGTCCGTGCACTATCGCTGTGTTGACGAAAAGGTACCCACAGTCAACAAAATATTTAATTGCTCCCACATCGAACGTACGCACTTGCACACGCACGAAACACATTAATTCATGAATAAAGTTAACTGTACGAGATGGAAACAAGAAATAGAGAGAAAAATAAACAAAATATGATAAATACTATAACGTGATAAAAATAAATAAAGTGAAAATATTGCGAAGATATAAGAATATAATTATTGTTTAATAGTATTTTATATCTAAATATTTTCCTTGTGTTTTTCTTAGAGTTGGGTGGCACTGGCAGAGCAAGTTAACTTGGTGCTGAATGAGTACCCAAAACTTAAGCTAACCCAAGGGAGAAAAGTGCTTGAGATTCGACCAAACATAAAATGGGACAAGGGCAAGGCTCTTGAATTCTTGTTGGAGAAGTCACTAGGTAAGTGTTCATGCAAAATAGCTTTCCTTTGAGAACTAAAGGAGTTGGTACTCGTCTCATGCGCTATATATATGAAGTCCTAACCTTTTCTTTTTTTTTCTTCTAGGATATGCTAATTCTAATAACGTATTTCCAATCTATATTGGTGATGATCGCACTGACGAAGATGCTTTTAAGGTAATGATTAACAAAGGCCACCCCCTTACTAGCAGCTTGTTAAAATTATTCTGTGCTATTCATATTCCACGTATATTACTGTTACTATTATTATTATTATTATTATTATTATTATTATAACTTCTTGATGTTTTGGATATAATACAATCAGGTTTTACGCAGTAGGGGCCAAGGGATTGGGATTCTTGTTTCTAAAATTCCAAAAGAAACCGATGCTTCCTACACTTTGCAAGATCCATCTGAGGTAATCCAACGTTTCTCAGTGCTACATGATTCATAGCTTTATTTTTTTGGTCTGAGATTCATAACCTTTTAAATGTCTAACGTGTTGTTCACTTCGAGCATTAATCTTGTATTTCTTTTTCATATGAATGTTGAGTCCGAGGTATACAAACGATAATGTTTTTTATTTCACTTTTTCGGTTTACAGGTTGGGCAGTTTTTGCGGCATTTGGTGGAGTGGAAAAGAACCAGTTCTCACCACCACAAGTTGTAGATTTTAGATGAGTTCAGGGAATTGACACCCGCCCAGAATTTGGTCAAGGGGTGGGTCGATTTACATCCCTTTCTTGTTAAAAATAGGAAATAGTATGTTCCATAATTTAAAGTTTTAGGGAGGGACAAAGTTCATATAGGTTCTCTCTTTTTTCCTTCTTTCTTTCTTTGTTTTTTTTTTTTCAAATGTATTCTATTCCTTCACACGTTTGCATGCGCATGGGATAGTGAAAAGAACTGATGTTTTATGCCGCAATTGCAAATGGCGCGTCAACCTTCTAGCTCTGAATTGTACTTATCGTACGTGTGGACAATGCAATGTTGAAAATGAAAATCACCAACTTCAACTTGAAAAGGTGATTTAGACAATCATAAGCGCACAATGAGTTTGTACCCAAAATAAAAAAAAATGCAAACTGAATTGATTTATAACCTGTTTGTATTATACCTATTTCTCACCGGCCTTCGTTGAAAGGAAAAATTGATTTACTCTGACTACAAAGGCATTTTCTCGATCACTTGTGCGTCAAATAAAATTTTAACAATCTTGCTTAAATATAACGTTATGCGAATTATATTGAGATTATAAATAAAGGAAATAATTAAATACCGAAAATTAGCACGTTACGTGAAATTGTGCAGAAAAGTTTATTTTATAATTCACAACTTTAGAAATACGAATTTTAAGAAATGAGTATCAGTTGCTCTACTATAATAAAGTTACTTTTACTTTTTGTAAAAATAAAATAAAAAAACAACAATATATAAAAGATAAACGAAGTTCAGGCGTATTTGATTTATTCTATCATGAAAAAAAATACGTTTCCCTTCTTATTTAAATAAAAAAAGTTATTAAATTAAATCAAAACAAGCATGGTCAGACTCTTAAAATTGTTTGTTTAAGCAGTACATTGATTTGCTACTTAGAACACGTCCCTCAATAAAGGAATAATAAATTTTGGATGTAAATTATATATTTTCGAAATTTTGTTCTCTAGTAAGTCAAGCAAAAAAATAAATATAGAGATACATTACACACGTTAGCAGCATTGCAGTTATAGTGATTATTCTGTTAAATTTAATATTCTGATCTCGATCTAGGAACTAATTGAAGCTGGTTAATAAGGATCAGAAACCAATAACAATACAACACAAGAGATAAATACTATAACTCGAGAAACTTAATTATGGATAATAGCGTTATCGGGTTCCTCTCCATATATTATATACTAAAGAAGTGTAGCTTAATTAGTGTCACATCCAATTAAGTGAAGACTAAAGAAAATTAAAGATACGAAAACCATGTGAAATCTTGAACTTGGTGTCTCTTCTCTAGCACTTTTCTACAACCTGAGCCAGATAAATCTTTCACAGGAGTAGTGACAGCTGTACATAACATACAGTTGTCAAGATACCTCTTGTCATGCTGTTAAAATGGCACTTACTGGTTAAGAAGTACACGCGTGTTGAGATTGTATTGACATTTGGATTTATCCTCGAAAGAAATGGTAGCTGCTTTAATAATTGGGAGGTTTGTCTTTTTAGGAGGACCTGCCCAGCACACTGACACATATGTGAGTGACTAATTGAGTTGGAAATACCTCATTTTCGTCTTGTTTAAATCTTTTTGTATATCTAAATTTTAAAATAAAATGCAATTATATGTATGGTTAAAACAATATTAAGGTTTGGTGGATCTCGTGAAAAGAACTCCATAAGTTTCGCATGCAAGCATGTACATCGTGAGGAAGATGTTTATGTAGATCTTTTGCTTTATATGAAAAAATTAAATAATAAAAGAAAAGTGTATGAAAAAAAAATTTTATTTATTTAAATATTTTATTTTATACGAGTAAAACATAATATCTTCTGTGAGATTTATTATTTAATGTTTTACATTTTAGTGAAATTTGGATGAAAGAGGAAATGTTTTTTTTTCTTCTAAATTTTGCAATTTATTGAATAATTAATGTTTTTTCTTTTTCAATCACATCACCTCTTGTGTCTCTGACTTTCTATACTTTTCTTTTTTCTTTATTTCTTATCTCTCTCTTCTTTACATCCAAACACCACTCCTTTAAAGAAATGTCGCGACATATAAATCGTCCTTAAATAAGTACTAGTATTACTAAGGTGTTTATAAATTGAAGTTAAATACTTTTATCATTGAGTCAAGAGTCATGTGTTGGAATGGAACAGCCTCAAATTTCAAGCGTGACTAATAAATCCACGTTGTGTATACACAGAAAGCAATGTAGATCATGCTTTCCTTACATCTTTCTGAATGACCATGTAATTCAGAAGGTAAAAATTCAAACTTTAGGTAGAAGCATAGATACTATACCAAAGCTGGCCAGGAACCGTGATGGCCACCTTGGTTATCAATTATTCATGTTTCTGTTTGGCCACATTTTCCTTACTCCAATTGTGCATTTTGCATTACTAAAGAAGCTAAGACACCTAAAACTCTCAAAGGAGTAACCCTATATATGCTAAAAACCCAAGTCCTACCATTGAATCACAATGCCCCAAAAAACACTCCCATTATCGCCAACCACCCTATTCCTTATGGTCAAGGTGCGATGCTGTGAAATGAGTTGGTCACGCCATTACCAAACAAAGGGTTGTCAAATTGAAGAAGTTATACATGACAATTATAGTCTCAGACTCACAGGCATAAACCTGCTTGGTCCTGTACCTCCCAACTTGTATACAGGGCATCTACATTCACCCTTTTGTCAGACAAAGTAGGAAAAGGACATGGGCACAAGGATTAATTTTAATAACCTTAAATAGGATGCCAGGAACTCTAAATCTGAGGCAGATACTATTATGATCTTCATGATATATTTTAAGACATGCTACTAATAAAGATAAAGTTGAGTAAGATCTGGGATAATAAAACTAATTAAAAGACACGCATAGGTTGATCTTGATGATCCTAATTCCTAACATCCCCTACAATTAACTATTGAAAGCCCCATCCTTGTTTAATTAGGATATTGAACCTAATTAGGGTCTTATAATTGCTAAAGAGATGTAAAACATAATTGGGCACCCTGCTTTGATTTGACAGACCCAACCTCGATCAAATATCATCAGAATGGTATCTGAAAATAGTAATATTTTATGCAATGTGAGAGATCTGATTTCTAGTTTAATGGCTTGTTTTCAAAGGGTTAGGTGCGTGAAAGTGAAATCCACTACTTGGTGAATCTTGTAAATGGTTGAAGAGGAGTTGGAACCCACTCAAAGTGCTTGATTTGAAGAAGACACGAGGGGGGATTCATAATGGGGACACCAAACATGTTTCCAAGCCTCGGAACCCTGGCCTTCATTTTCATACGTGTAAAGATAAGTTACCACTAGATTCAATTTCATCATTGGTGCTTTAAATAAACTATGTCAAGCCTTAGAAGCTCCAATTATTGGTACAAAACGGGCACTCCCTAACACATCTCATTGAACCATTCATAACCCTATTATCATGCCAAAATCGAACAGCTTGCGATCTATGTGCCATTCACATTCTAGATTTCCGTGAGAGAAAATGTACAAAAATAATGTTTCTTTTGTACTCATAGATTGTAATGTACACACCCACAGGGTACAAGAATAAAATGTTATGTACAATGGATAATATATTGTGGCGGAAAAAAAAAGGTTCAGAGAGTGAACACAAGGTGAGTCGAAAAATTAAATAATATATAAAGTTTATATCTCGTTATATACTCATTTCCTATTATCTGTGATTATCGAGACAATTCAGATGTGTGTGTGCCTTTTAGTTGTGAACTTTTTGCTCCCAATAAACCGCACCTGAGAATTAAAAAAAGAGGGGAAAGAGAAGAAAAGGACCCTTCTGGGTCTCATTGCTAAATAAAATACACTCTGCATGATAACTCACAAAAGACATTAATTTCATAAGCTAACAGACCAAAACCCATCTTGTGGGGTTTTTTCTAAAGCCCTTCCCATTTCGCATCATAAAAATACCCATGCGACCTCAACAACTACTGTTCTAGTTTAATTATTAGTCAAGTCCTGTTTTTCGCTTTAATAATTAAGTTAGCTAAGTAGCTACAGGGCATATATATATATATATATACTGTTGTTTGTTTCAATAATTAAGTTAGCTAACAACCTACAAGGCATATGGTTCTCTCTAATGCATTATTTTCCATAGAGACACACAATAATGGATCTCCATAGACCTATTTGCCCTTTGCCACGGACATCGATCCAATGGTCCCCACATGGAGAATGAATATATTTAAGCATTTATTATCATATACACAGAGTAATGTATTATGTATGTGGGAAAATATAAAAAAAGCTTTGCATATACGGTGTCAATTAATGGTGAACTGTTACGGCTTAATATTGAATATTCAAGTACCCTTATGAACAGTTGTTGCTGTTGGAGGGAGCAAGAGCAAATGCTGGTTGTTTTGGGTTTCATAAAAGGGTTATAAATTATAATTGCTGGTATCTAGGCCTTCACTTATGGTAGATTAAAAAGAAAGGTAGTTAGTAGTATAAAGAGAGTAAGCGATAATTAGCTAAATTAATTGATATAAAACAGATCGGTGAGCATTATATAGCCTTTCGGCTACCGTGCATCCAGTCAGTTCTTCAAATGGGACAGATGTTGCCATAACGAGCAAGCAATTCGCTTTGGTGACTATGCAATGCCAAAGAAAATGCTTGTATGGGTTGGCACCTTACCTTTCCATACCTAGAACCCTTAACTTTTCATGATTAGTGGACTACTCAAAAATGGCGTTTGGATATAATTTTCTTTTCATTAACCCTATTCTCTAATTGATTGTGGAGATTGGTCTTTTTCCAAGTCAAAAAAGTATTTAAAGTAATTACAGTTTTTTTTTAATGAAGTATTTTTGATGTATGATTAAAAATTGAACCTTGACCAACAAAAGTAATAATTCATTTACCAAACTTTGCACTGGGAATATGTTCATTATAAGAAATTTTCTATTTTGGGCGGCTTTTGACCTTCTTAATTTGATTTATAACGATTTTCAGAAACAGCCATATTTAGTTACATTAAAGTTATTTGTGGCAGTTATTTTAGGAATCCTTCGTCCATTACAGCACATTTTTATGGATGCTTTAAACCACTTTAATTTGCAAAGGCTTTTAATCTTTCTCATTTACCACTTTTTTTTTTTTTTAAATCTTTATGAAGATGTTTTAGAGGAATAAACATAATCAAATAGGCCCTGGTCCAATAACAAATTCTTTGGAAACCATTTCTCAAAAAATGTTATATGAAATCTTCATGATAAGAAACAAGAATCAAAGTTATTTAAAAATGAACATATTGTTAGGAGATAGTTCACTGTGAAAATCCAATGAAATTAAAACAGTGATTGATGATGCATTTTAGCCATATAGGCAACTAGCCATTACGTGCTTAATTTACTTCAGATGCTTGAAATTTTTGCTTCGGCCTCATCAGTGATAGTTGCTATTCTTTTTTAACCATAAGTTATGCTTATAGCATTTGGCTAATGTTATTGATTTTATATAATCTTCCTTCTTAGACTTATATGAACTGCACTTCCTTTATCATATAAATGATCATTCTAGGAAAGTAGGTGCTTATAAATAATATAAATGTGTGCTTGCACTTCTTTCAAGAAAATTAAGTTACATGCGTGACAACCTTTAATTCACTATCAAATAAAATTTTTAGAATACAAGAGACACTAATGTGAATAATTTAGTGACATTCTTAAGGTATATGTTTTATGTGGCAATTTTAACTAGCCGGACTTGTAATTAATGATTTTTAAACTTCATAATTTTTTTTAAAAAAAATCAGATTGGTGATTGAACCAGTGAATACTGGTTTAAGATTTAACAACCCAACCTTTGTTAAATTGGATAAGATCGAAGATAATTAAATATTATTTTTATGTTATATAATAAAATAAATACGAAATTAGTATAAAATTATAAAAATAATTAAGTTAAGCAAAATTTTAAGTTAATATAAAAGAACCATTTTACATGCTTTTATTATATAAAAGTCCATCACAAATAATTAAAAATAACAATTCATATATACATTTTTTATACAAATGGTGATCGAATTAGCTCTCAATTCAACCAATCAATCCAATTTTTAAAATACAGCTAAAATTTATCTTTTTCTTTAAGTGAAAAATGGAGTTTTATAAGTCGTTATTTCTTAGCATATAAATCTTAATTTTAGATTGAACTATGTTATTTTTTAATAAAAGCATAAAATAACTAAAATTTTATATTTTGAGGCAAATGAAAAATCTTACATTTTTTAGAGGAACAATACTCAATGATATTGGGTTTTCTAACAAATAATAATTATACTTAATCACATGCTTTTACTCATATAGAACTAAAACTACAGCACAATCACAGATTGATCCTTGTGAACCCATACCCCAATTCATGATAAAAATAGAATGCAAAAGCGTATCTGAATTTTTCATTGAAAATGATGAAGGTGGTAGAATTAATAGTGGGTATGTGATCTTTTAAATGTAGAGTGCCTTAGATTTCCTTTTTAAGTTTTTTTTCTGATAGAGATGAAAAGAAAAGAACAAAATTGGATCTTTGTACGTTCTATAACTTCCTCTACAAATAGGGATCACAACTCATTTATATAACTTCTGTAAGTTACATTTTAAATATAATAATTTTAATTTAACCCCTCATCAAATCAAAATATTACTTATAGCGTCTACACAATAACTTTTCAAAACAATTATGCCCTTAGTCATAAACTTAACATTAACAGACCACTTTATAATTTTGGCTGATCAGATAATAGCCCTAAAACACTTAAATAATATACATGTGACCCAAAATACTAACAAATGATAGAGGAAAAATCAATGCAACTGATTAATGATATAAAATAATTATATTCTTTGAAGTTCCATATGTGAAAATTGAAATTAAACTTAAAGACCTTAATCTAAACTTGCAACTGATTAATGGTATAAAATAATTATATTCTTTGAAGTTCCATATGTGAAAATTGAAATTAAACTTGAAGACCTTAATCTAGACTTGTGCACTAATTGCAATGTAATTATTTTATATATTGAATTTAGTCAGTTCTCAGAGAAGAGTTCAAAGGAATAAACGTTAAAAAAAGAGTTAATAAAAGGATTGTTGATTGATTTTGAAGGTGCATAAGTAATAAATTAATTGTTATCGTTTTAATTGTTATAATTGTTTTGAAATTAAAACCAATCGGGTATTATCTACTACTATGAAGTTCCTAGCATGGTATTTATTGAACCATGCAGGAAGATTGACTACTGATAATCTTAATGGGTTCGATTTCAAATTAAGGCGAGAAGAAGGATTGATTGGAACTTAATGCTAGCAAAATTTCCATATAATGGGAACTCAATTTAGTGTTGGCAAACAATGTCACGGTGATGGGCTTAATCCAATAAAAACTGATGGAGGATCAATGCTATTTTAGAGTGAAATGTGACAATCTATAAGTAAACTTTTTTTTTTCCCCTATTTCTCATCTGCTTTAATCTAAATTCGACTCAAGTAGCAGATTTTAGATGTAGTGGATACGTTTATCATTAAAGATTTTTTTCGTATTTTACCAATATTCCATACATAAAGTTTGCTAAATATTAAATTTGTTTTTTCTTCAATTATTATTAACACAAAAAAGTATATATATTTGGAGCAATCATAAATTCACAAAAATATGATGAATGTCTAGTTATTTGAAAATTCACGTTTTCTTTTTTAACAATTTATGTTCCAGATGCCTCTCCACATTGTCAATTTTGTGAAACTTTTGTCTTAATGGCCGAATTTATTCGACACGGGCTTTTTAGGACACTGGTTTGGGACTGTTGGACTAATAAATTAATAATGAAGGAATAGTAGAAGTTCTTGCCCCAAACGGTAGTCAAAGGTGAAGAAATGTCCACAACTCCATAACCCCACTTTTGGACTTTTGGGCTTGTTTGGATCCAAGTTGTATTCAATAAGAAAAATGCGAACATATCCTATTACTGCATAATTGGATTGAGGCCCATGAAAAGAGAGACATCCTATTACTTCATAATTCTTGTGAATCTAAATATGACCAAACCATTGGCCTAAACAGAACCTAAATATGCCTAAATAAATTAAAAGAATTTGATTGCATTTTTTAGGAAGATAAGTTACGAAGGGAATATAATTCAAGAAAAATAAAGATAAAAATAAAACAAAATACTACAATCCATGTGTGAAAAGAAGCGTAGTTTATTCATGGAAGAATATTTGCAAAATTATCCTTTCTAGGTAATTTTTTAGTTTAAAAACCATTTTTACTTTAAATGTTGATACTGAATATATTTGTAGTTTTAAATAATTTATATTTATTTGTTTGCTTTATAAATTTATTTTATTAAAATAAAGGAACTTTTATGAGCAATCATAACATAATAATTTATAATATGTTATAAATTATTATGAGCTATTTATTTTATAAATCATATCATAATAATTTTATGGGCTATTTATTTTAATTTTTTAATAAAATATTTCATTTTTAAATAAAAATTAAAACAGTTCGAGGTTAAATTTAAAGATAAAAAAACTATAATTATTTTAAAATAATGTCTAATGTATATTTTTGTGTTATTTTATATTTGTAAAATTAATTTAACAACTTTTACCTCTCAATCAACAACTTTCAGCTACAAATTACTTTCTAAATGATCAACAAACTTTGAAGTTTCAATTTATGTATCACCTATATTAACCTAGCATAACCAATAACTCATTTCCAAATTATATTTACCAAAAAAATATATACTTCTAAATTCCATTGACACAGAAATGAAATGCAATAATAAAAAAATCCGAATCCAAAGGCAAAACGAAAAGAATAGACGACACAGGAAAACAGGGTTCTTCGGGGCACGGATAAATAGCAACAATGATATGATATTTTCTATTATTTTTGTAGAGTCAAAACATTTTATTTGTAAGAAAAATAAACAAATAAAAGAAGCAACAAGAGAAGCTCGTGGCCGTGGAGTTAAATTAGAAGATTAGCAGAGTCAAGCTGCAGAAAATCAAAATCATTCTGAAACGCCCCGTTACAACTTCAATTTGGATTGAACGGGGTGTTTTCCATTTCAAAATAGCGTAATTTTAATCAAGCTTTGGTTGTAATACTTTCGGATCTTGCATTTTTTATCCATAATAATAATAATAATCGTCGATTTGGGGATTCAATTCAAGCATGGACAGCATAATGAGCAAGCTCCGCAATCTCGATGCGTACCCTAAAATCAACGAAGATTTCTATAGCCGCACGCTTTCCGGTGGCGTCATAACCCTCGCTTCCTCAATCCTCATGCTTGTGCTCTTCTTCTCCGAGCTTCGTACGCTTCTTTCTCTCCTCGTTATGTTTTTTTTCTCTGTCGTTTTTGTTCTGTGAAGGTTTCAATTGAAACTCATTGTCGTGTTTGGCACTGGCTTCAGGGTTGTATCTCCATGCGGTGACGGAGACTAAGCTTGTGGTGGATACTTCCAGAGGCGAAACGCTGCGTATCAATGTAATGTCCTTTCCCTTGAACCATTGATTTTTTATTTTTTTGCAATAGAAGAATTTTTTGAATTATTGTTTGCAAATTGAAGTAACTGATCCTTGTCGTTTTGATGTTGAAAGTGCAGTTTGATGTTACGTTTCCTGCGTTACCATGTTCCATTCTTAGTCTTGATGCAATGGACATCAGCGGAGAGCAGCATCTAGATGTAGTATGTATTAGTTATAAAAAGAAAAACAAAAAATGGAAAAATATTAAGTTTATTTTTTATTTCGCGTATGAGTAACTAGAAGTTAATTGAGTTTGGAATGTGTTTAGTGCCTTTGATATTCTGTATGTTGCTGAGTTTATAACAATGTTTTTTTGTCTTTGTGTGAGTAAATTCTCAGAAACATGATATAATCAAGAAAAGATTAGATTCTCATGGCAATGTGATAGAAACAAGGCAAGATGGAATTGGTGCTCCCAAGGTAAACAATATGATTCCATTTGTTTAAACGTACGAATTTTTGTAATTCACATTCATATATTGGATGGTTGATTAATGCTGTGTTTGACTATGCGTTAGAAATGCCGTTGCACAGAATAATGTAATTTATTTTCACTACCAGCAAACTCCGTTTTAATCTTGCAGAACGCTAATCCAATCAGGCATTAAATATTTACTACTGTTATTTGATTCCTCTTTTCATTTTAATGTCTTTACATATCTTAAGAAATTACACATTTAGTTTTACCAAGCTCGATTGGCTGAACACGTTTACAGGTGATTTTCTCTATTAGAAAATGAACTTGTACCGGTGCTTGCCTGTCTCGTTTCCCTAAAGATGCAATTTTATTTTACTTTTTTTCTCTTCTTGAGATTAGGTAGTGGTGCTTTATCCAGAAATTCCTCTTAAATCATAATTTGAATGTCTTGTTTGCTTACTTTATTTTTAGATCATTTTCTTTATTTAACTGTTTGTTTGATCAGATTGAAAAACCATTGCAAAGACACGGAGGAAGGCTTGAGCACAATGAGACTTATTGTGGTTCCTGTTTTGGTGCTGAAGCGGTATGCCTGGTTTTAAATTATGCTATATGCAAAGATTTCTTAATTTACTGCCTTGTGTGTCTATTGGTTACTGGTGAGAAGCTAACGGAGATAGTTCATCATTAAATTTCATACTAACTTACTAAGAAATCTGGTATTTCTTTTCTTTTTTCATTCTTGTTTTTGCCCAAATATTTTCATATAAAAGAATTTTAAATTGCAACTAGGCAACATTAGTACTGAAGTCCCTACACTTTTCTTCCTTCCATCTAATATCCTTGGTTTTCCATTTGGGGCTCATAATGATGGATTGCATGTGACTTTAATTGAATTGTTCTTAGCATTCAAAAGTTTGATACTGACCTAAAGCTTGCACATATTTATGTTTGCAGTCAGATGAGGATTGTTGTAATTCCTGTGAGGATGTTCGTGAAGCATATCGTAAGAAAGGTTGGGCGCTTTCAAATCCAGATTTAATTGATCAGGTTTGTCTTTATGACATATTAACTTTGAATTCAATATTGTTTTTGAACGTATCAAATATGATGCTGTTGTCTGATACCTATCAAAATTTCCACTGCAAGTGAAGTTCTTCATACTTTTGATTTATGTGTATAGAACTCCCTAAGTTTACGGTTTCCAGGCCAGGCACACATATTTATATATAACAGGTTATTTATATGTAAAATAGTTTAACTCTATATTTATGATCCATTTCATACTATTCTGCAGTTTCATTTAAAACTCTTTCTACCACATGTAACATGTGAAATGTGGTCAACATATTTTTGTGTTTTGCTACTGTTTTCATTATAGAAGAAACTATTTTTTCTGACTGATCTTGTTTTTACTTTATATAGTAACATTCTTGTTGAAAAAGTGAAATGAAATTTAATTATAAGTAATCATTATTCTGTAATGCAGTATTGTTTGTTGGTGAACAACCAATTTTTGTTTTGTCCGTTTATTATTAATCATGAATTGGTAGCCTCACATACTTTTTTTCTTTAGCTGTGGATTATTGTTTGATACAAAGGCAATTTGACATTTGGACATAGAAGGTTTTTTTGTACAGCAGTAGCATTTATAATTGTTCATTTATATAATTGGCTTTTAGTTGGTGTTGTATCCAAGGAGAACTAGGTTACACATTAAACCAACCATGTTGTGATTATTAAAATAGTTAATTATGCTTCAGCAGTCAATCACAATTGCAGTGCTATAATTTGTACAGCAGTAGCATTTAGAATTGTTCATTTATATAATTGACTTTTAGTTGGTGTTGTATCCAAGGAGAACTAGGTTACACATTAAACCAACCATGTTGTGATTATTAAAACAGTTAATTATGCTTCAGTAGTCAATCATAATTGCAGTGCTATAATTTGGCTTACAGCTTGATCACTAACTAGTAAATTAAACTATCAAAGCATGGGTTCCTTTGTGATTTCAGTTTCAATTTGTATATGCATGGATACATCTACAAGTTTATCCAAATGTAATTAGCTATATAGGCTACATGCTTTTTTCTCCCCAACCCAAGTATATCGCATGCATATCTTGTCATATTTGACATAGATGTATATTAAAAAATTAGCGGCATTATCCTCATTCTCTTCTACTTAAATAGTTCTTCTGCCTATGTCAAATTGTTAATTTATGTGAGTCCCTATTTGGCATGTGATTTGTTTCACTTAGTGCAAAAGAGAAGGATTCTTGCAAAGAATCAAGGATGAAGATGGTGAAGGATGCAATGTGTATGGCTTCTTGGAAGTGAATAAGGTGGCAGGGAATTTCCATTTTGCTCCTGGGAAAAGCTTTCAGCAATCTGGTGTACATGTACATGACCTACTGGCTTTTCAAAAGGACTCCTTCAATGTAAGACACAATCTGTTATTTTGTATTCAGTTTGGCAAATTTTTATTATAATTTCTACTGCATATATTTCATAGCTTATGTGAAACATGAAAAACAATGTATTATATTATTAACTTTGGCTATAAAATTTCTTCTATTGCTCCTCTTATTTGAAGACACTGAAAAGTATATAACATGTGATTCAGCTTAGTCACCACATCAACAGATTAGCCTTTGGAGAGTATTTTCCTGGTGTCATTAATCCTCTTGACCGGTGAGCTCTTCATATACACTTAGACTAAGAATCCAATCAATGATTTAGCAAACTTTACTATTGAATAGCTTATAGTTGGATACATTCTGACCCTTTCTTGATTTTCAGTGTGCATTGGACACAAGAAACACCAAGTGGGATGTATCAGTATTTTATTAAGGTTACCATTTCAAATCTCTGCATACTGCATATTACTAATACTTATTTCATATTAAGCAAAGCTGTGATTTCCAAAATTTACTATCAGTGGGTTCAATCAATCTAATTTACATGATGAATATTGCTTATCTATCTTTATATCCACAGTCCACTACATAGAAAGAAATGTTGCAGTGAGTGGGTTGCTATTGTTTCCATAAATGTTGGTGCATGATTTTGATCTGATTTCACAAACTTTATATGAATAAAAAGTAAGTTAAAATTTTGAATGCAATTTTGTGATATATTGGTGAGTATATCTAGGTTGATATTTGATTAGATATTAGTTATAAAACATGATACACTTACATCCAATGACTTTGAAAAATGTCAAAATTTTTGTTTAAACGGCCCTGCATTTATGTGATTTCCAATTATCGCATTTTGTTGCAAATTGTATTTGCCAGTCTCCTGTTATATCTTCAACTAACAAATACAAATTCATGATTTCTTTTCTTTCGCTGAATCCTTTTCTTTCAGCTTTGTACTTATTATTAATTTTTCGGAAAGTTATTTAGGAAGTAAAATCTATTCAGAGTCATACAATAAGCTACAATTTTTCATGCTTTTTGGGTCATGTCAAATATGTTCGCCTCCCAAAATTTGACAAAGTTAAACTAACCGGTGCTCCAGTTTTGGAGATTATACCTAGCCCATTTCTTTTAAATATTTTCCACCATGCAAATTGTATAGATAGGGGTGTGTGATATCACGTGTAAGATAAAAATGCATGCAGTATGTCTGGGAAAATTTCAATGTTTGGGTGGTCTCAAATATTTCCCAAAATTATTAGGGAAGTTGGTACATGTAGCTATATTTGTCTCCTTCATTTTATTTTCCTAATGGACTTGTTTTCATTTTACTCGTCACATGCTCTGTTTTTGTCACAAGCTGCATTTGCTTTCAAATGCTCTATCACTGTCACTGAAAATACTTTCATACCTTTTAGTTTATATTCTATATATTTTCTGCTTTGATCACAAGGTGCATGTGTTTATATCTGATGCTTTAATTTATAATTAATAAATGATTTTATATTTTTATTACTAAAGAAATCTCCATTGGTGAGATTTTTATTATTTTTCCTTTTAATTTATATTTTTATCACTAAATAAAGAGAAGTTTTATCTAACTTCAGTACAGCAAGTTATTTTATATGATAGTGAATCCTTAGCCTTAAAGAAACAACACAAGAAAAAACTAAAGAGTGACAAAAATAAGAATATTAAAGTGAATAAATAGTTGCACGAGAAAAGATAGGATAAATAATGATGGTATATGTGAAAATATTAGAGTAACACCTATTGGAAAAGATGACTGAAAACCATCTAAAGGTAGTAGAGGGAGACAAAAAAAAACCTTAAAAGGTAATTTTTAAAAGAGATCTTTTGATTAATCATATTTTTGAAATTTTGGTTTTTAACTAAACTCAATGAAGTCATGTGATCCATATAACTTATCTCATCTAGTGGGATTAGGTTTTGTTGTAGTTGTTGTTAGGCCCATTAATGAGAAGTGTGCCTTTGTTTCTCTCCAAAAAAATTGAGGTATCAACCCCTAGATTTTGAAATCCCTTAGCTCCTTAAGTGTGTGCGCCTGTCTTCTTGGACTACTTTGGTAAACATCAGGAAAGTGTGACTGCAATTGCTTTTCCATGCACAGTTTTTCTAGTGTTCTGTTCTCAGTAGTTTGTCGTAGAAAGGGTGCAAGAATTGGTATATCCCTTTGCAAGATATGTGGAATATTGCACCAGAAAACTATTCTTAGAACTTGCTATCAAATTTTACCACTGATTTTTTTTTCAGGTTGTGCCTACTGTATACACTGACGTAAGTGGGCATTCTATCCAGTCAAACCAGGTTATTTAACTATTAAATTTCACTCTTAACATTTCTTTTTTCATTCTGACTTGCAAAACATAATACAAACTGGAAATGTTTCTGCAGTTCTCTGTGACAGAACACTTCAAGACTGGAGATGTGGGCCGTTTGCAGTCCCTCCCTGGGGTTTTCTTCTTCTATGACCTTTCTCCAATTAAGGTGGGGGGTTTTTTATTTGTTTTTCTCCAAAAATTATTATAGCTTTTGGCTGATATTCAGATATGAAATGTCAGAATCAATAATTGCAACTACACCTTTTCGTTCCTATTTTCTCTCAACAATATTACTTTCTCACTCGTTTTCTCATTCTCTTTCATGCTTTTTGATCTTGTATTATTCTGGAATGACATTTGCAGGTTACTTTTACCGAAGAACATGTCTCTTTCTTACATTTTCTTACTAATGTGTGTGCCATAGTTGGAGGTAGATATGAATCTTTCTCTTCTTGTATTATTCCTCTTCACCCTTGCATTATTTGTCTCTAATATTTAACAAGTTCATGAGACAAGTATCATTTCAAATTTTTGAATCTTGACGGCATCATGCTTTCTGTTTGTTGCATACAGGTATTTTCACTGTTTCTGGAATACTAGATTCATTTATCTATCATGGTCAAAGAGCTATCAAGAAGAAGATGGAACTTGGTAAATTTAGCTGATAGGTGTTATTTGAGTTCTTTCCGTTGAATGGCTCTCCATGGACAATCTATTCTGAAGAAGATCAACTGTTGAACGAAATTCCCCCTGGGGCTCCCTGAGTTCTTCAGTTTCAACAAATGGATTTTGCCCATACACCTTGTCATCAATGGAGGTTGAAATGGCTAAGTGCAACAAATGCCACTTTGCCATGACTCATCTTTTCTGAAACAGCTCTAGATGTGAATGTTACATGTTTAATGGAAAGTAGAGGGGCTTTCATAGCCCTGAACTTGCAGAACTTCGAGAAGCATCAAAAGGAAATCCTTTAAGGAAAATTTAAATCAACAACGATAATCTAAAATGAGATATAACTGCTGACCTTTTTTTCTTTCGATGTTAAAGTTTTAATTATCTGTGCGTTTCGTAGTTTTTTCCGCCCCCATATTCATAAATTTTTACTTGGAATCTTGAATAGGACGTGTATTTTAAAGGGGGAAAATGAATTATTTGAAAAATGAGGAGCAAAAAATATTTGTATGGAGTAATTGATTCAAAATCTTGATGCGCTGTCCAAATAGTTCAACCTTTTTTCTGAGCTTAAACAGTTCAACTCGAGAACATCGAATGACCAAACAAAATAACAAAAAGAAACTTTAAAATTATCATTTTTTTGTCTGGGCCTTAAAATCATCTAAGTGTCCGTGTCTTCAACCGTTAGCTGGCTCGTCCATTGACTTCAAAAAGAAAGAATAAAATTATCTCCGGTTATAGCGGGAATTAAATGTCTAATCTTATTTACTTAAGTAAAAAATAAATTTATTTAAGTGAATTTAAAAAAAAAATTTAAGTTAATTTACTTAAAGGGTGTAGTTCCTTGTTGAACTTTACTCTTTCCTTCCCCCTCAATTCCACACCCAGTCCTCTTTTCCTTTTCCCACTCATCTTTTCGTTGCCCCTAGCCCTCCACACCTTTTACCACTGCTTGGGCTTCCTTCCCCTCTTGCTGCCTCAGCCTCCACTCCTTCCTCTTTCTCCCATATACAAGAAAGATAATGATAAATTTTCTTAAGACTTTATTTAGGAGTTTGGAGAAAAAAGAAGGAAAAAAGTTTACAAAGAGAAGGAGGGGAAGAAAAGGAAAGGAGAAAGAGATTAAACATATCCTATATTTGAATGTTTAATACTGAGAAATGAAGATGATAAGAGGTTTAATTATATAAATAATTTTAAAATTAATATTTTTATTTTTTAAATTTTTTTAAAAAAATTATCACTTGAAAAATTAACATTTTTAAAAAAAAAAATTAAAATCCTATTTGTGAAACAGTATGAAAGAGTAAAAGAAAGAACCCTCAGAATAGAAGAACTCAAAAAAATAAGCTTTTACAGGGTTTTGAAGGATTTAGAAAAATTCTCCAAAACTTTCTTCTCCTAATTAAGCAAATGCTAAATAAGATTAAACCTCTTCTAATCTCTTCCTTCTCCTCCCCTCCCTTCCTAAATCTAACTCCCAAATATAGTCTAAGTGAATTTTGCATAAATTTTTTTATTATTTTCTTATGATTCACTTAAATAAATTTATTTTTGTTTAAAGAAAAATAAGACTGGATGTCAAACTCTTGTTACAGGAGAGAATCTAAATCCAAAAAGAAAATAGTATGTTAGTCTCTACCATCTTACACCCTTTGCTTATTTAAGTGAAAAACATGTAGAGATATATCTCCGGTCTTTTTTATAAGAAACAAAATGGAGCATTTTCTTGGTCTTTATTATAAGAAACAAATGATAGATTCAAAATGAATTAATTGCTAAATTTCTTTTATATCCTTCTTTTATTAGTATCATTAAATATACAAATTACTAATTACATCATTTAATATTATTGATATTCTTGAAATTTTAAACATAACTAACTTAATTACTTTTTTTATCCTGATAATTTAGTCTTTTGTTTCTTATAAAAAGGACCAAATGTAGTAAAAGTGTAGAAAATGAAGTTTAATGTAATTAGATGTTTTATTTTATACGAATAAAAAATAAAGTTTTTTTCCATCCGATTTAATCTGGATCTAATCCGAATCGTACGTCTAGATATGATGGGTGAGTCTACTACTGAAAATTTTTTACATATAAAAATAAATTTATTTTAGAGTTTAAGAGAAACACTTCATATAAAATGGTGAGATTTTGTATAAAAAAAGTTATGATACTTTAAATTTTATTAAAAATAATTTTGAAAATAATATAAAATATTAAATAACAAAGAATTACATAATTAAGAAAAAATATTATATTATAACTTTTATTTTTGTCAAAATAATTTTTTATTATTACAAAAATATTTTTTCATCTAAATTACCTACTCATTTTTTATTTTATCCGAACATAACATCAAAATACTTCATCAATCTTCGTTGGAACGCTTCAGGGATATCTGCGTTTATGCTACATTGGGCCAAGTAAAATGTAAACAAGTTTCCTTAAATATTATTTTCTACATATATTATTATATTGGTTGAAATTCATGTCAGCTTCAATAAAAGAGGAAAATTTTCCTCTTTATTTAATTAGTTTTTCTTATTTAGTGGAACTCTTGAAAATTAACCACTAATAATATGTTAGAAAAAGCATGTTTTCAATACTAACATTTCATATTTAGTAATATACTTTTGAAAACAATGCAATGTTTCTATAATTTTTTGTTTTCTTTTTTATATTATTTTTTTAAGAAAATATTGGAACTCAAGCAAATCTGTTTATAATGATGATGGAACAAATAATATGAAATTAAAACCTTTCTTTTAGTCTGCTCCTTATGAAGTGGTAAAGTAACGTTCTAAATTTATTGCTCTTTTGTACCAAAGACACTTGTTTAAGACTTTTTTTGGAAAAATTTATGAACAATTTATAAAAATAATTTGAAATTTATAAGCTTTTTTCAGCTTATTTTAATAAGTTATTTTTTTTAAAAAATTTCAAAATAAGTTATTTTCAATTTATTCTAATAAATATTATCACTAAACTTTTAATATAAGTCATTATTTAAAAAATTATTAATAAATGTTTAAATAAGATATATACCCAGATGCACTTAGTCTGGGCATGGGTTTATCGTATCAAAAGAAACCAAAACAACTCAGTCGCAAGATTCGAAGGTAGAGTCATTATCAAAGGATTCCATCAAAGCGTGATTACAATCAAACCTTTAGTCCTGTCATTAAAACGTCCATTGCCTCAGTTTAGCCGTTTCTCCAACTCTTTAACACAAGTAAAAAATTCGCCAACCAGATATTAATAATGCATAATTGAATGGAAAATATATTAAATAGGTGTTCATGCAATGCAACCACCTTCAAGTTTCATCTATGGTGATTTCCCAAAATATGTGTCAAGACTTGAAAAAATCCATCTATGTGCTCAAACGACTCCCATATGCATGCATGGTTTCAAATGTTTTGTTCCTTTCCAATTGATAAACTCGGTTAAACCCATCATTGCTAATCTTTGGTAATAAACTTTTTCATATCTCTAAAGGTCTCTTCATCAACCAATTCAAGTACAATCTAGAGCTTCTTGAACAAACCACATGGCTTAGGTAAAAGTGGACCAAATTTGTCTCTCAATGAGTAAATCTCACACATCATGATGATAGTTCAACAACTAACACCACCAAGTACAAAAGCTTAAATGGAGCACTTCAAAACTACTCCATGACGCGGCCTAATATGGCATTCTCGATCAACTTGCCAAATTCGTGCTCAAAGTCCACTTTTGTACGCATAGTAGGTTTAAAATATTTGTGGTGTTCTTTTATACACAACTTGCCTCCAACGGTGTGGATTAGGCAAGCGCCTGAGACAACTACACTTTCAATTATGGTACCTTTTTTTTTTTCAACCGAAGTCATATCAGAAAAAAGGAACAACACGTCAACAAGTTCCAATACAGAAATAGAGAGCAGGCATTTTAGCCAAGTTTGTGTGAAGCTTCAGTTCTACAAGAGTTATAATTTAACGTGCGAATTGTTTCAATCATTTGTTGTGACAATCTTAGTGCCATATACCTATCACTTAATCCAATCTCTCTAGAGAAGTGCACATAGTTTTTGTAAGTGATCGTAATCTTCACTCTCTATTAGTAGTTATATGATCCAGATTTTTATTTGTAAGTGATCGTAATCTTCACTCTCTATTAATAGTTATATGATCCAAATTTTTAGGTGTAAAACTATCAAAATCTATCTTAAGAGCTTATCTGTATTTAAGAGGAATGAATAAGGACAAAAATGTAGAAAACTTTTAAGCACGTCATTTAGAATGAATCTTAAGAGATTGTCGAGATGCCATATGCAATACATAAGTTTTTCTTAGACAGTGTATTATGTATATATATAAGTATATTTAATTTTTCTTCCCCGCCCGCTTGCCAAACATATTAAATTGTTGTTAAATTCTTACTTTGGACCTGCTATTGTACGATGTACAACTTTAAGTTACCCTTACATTCACCACATAAGTTATTCATATGGAAATCCATAAATACAAATAATATATATTACGGGCGTCTTTTATATTATATTTATAGAGTATGATTTGTCTAAGAATTATTAGAAGCAAAAGTGGCATTATCATTCCTTCGATCATTTCCTTGCAAAGCACGGATGCGTTATTGGGATAGCTATATTTATCAAGTAACATCCTCGCTTAGCAAACTTTTCTTCCTTTTAACGTTATCATTTTATCTCAATCTCAGGTACTTTATATGCATCAAAGAAGATACATGGATAAGGATAGATTGTAAACGTAGTAGATACACACCCGAAATTTTTATATTGATATAATTAATCTCTGGTGCACTTTGATTCTTCATAATTTTATTTACTTCTTATTTGGATAAATTCCTTTCATCCCTAATTTCTTACACTAGTTTGTTGTAATTTCTACCCTGATTCATATAATTAATTAAGAACACTAAACGCACTAAATTATTGATATTTATGTGCAATGTTCCCTATTCCATTATAATTTTATTTTATTTACAAATTTGTAAAAGTGCCCTCTTATAGTTTATTTTACTTCGATAGGGATTTCAAAAAGTAGAGAGAAACCCACTTATACATTTCCTTGAAAACACAAGCTGGTGGATATGAAATCCCCTATCCAATCAGCACACAATTGCTGTAGTTGCAAAAGAGCCAACGAAAGCTGAATTGGTAGAAATTAACAAAAAAAAGCAATTAGTCTGAATCAAAATATAGGTTATCTTTTATCACAGGTAACTGCAAGTATACATAGGATTTTCACATCATATCGGCAACTCATTCCAAAGGAATTTTCTGTTTCAACTTGTTTTATAAGGTCCCC